CCGCACAAATTTTGTGTGCACTAGTCTTTATAGCTACTTCAATAGCTATAAAGACTAGTGTACACAAAATATCATTGTGTCATTGTTAAGGATCGTTTTGCAGTAACGCTAATTTGTAATGCCAAATATAACTTGAGTTAAGTGCTGCTATTATATTTTTAAATAAGCAATTTATATCATAATTAATTGTAGACACGGGTAAAATGCAGGAAAAATTACGGAAAATATTTCCTAACCCTAAGCTTATTGCTGCCCCAACCAAAACACTTACTCAATAATGGTAAGTTCAATTTTCTTAGCCTTTCGTAGTATAACAAACATCTCAAGTTGGAAGTACCATGGTTATATTAGTTTTTAAATAAGAAGTCTAAATATACACTGTATATTTATGGTAGAGTCTAATAACACTTTAAATAACTTTAGAACCATATTTTCATAAAATAAAGTGAATGTCTTTATGCAAATCAAGAATTTGTAAGAACTTTGAGATAACTGTTCAAAAATTAAGCTTGGCGTTACATGAAATAATGACTCCTTAATTACGCACTTTAGTTTTGTTTCCCATTTATTTCAAAATATCTTAATTTTAACATTTTTTTTGTCTTAAATATTTCAGCTTTTACCGAACGAATAATAAGGTAGCCGTTTATTTTAGGCTTATTATTCATCCATTTAGTTGAGCGGCTGATATACCAAGCGGATTTTTTTGCTTAATTAGGTTTTCAACCTGTAGAGTAACCCAAGAATCATACTTTTTCTTCTATAACAATATATAATTATTTATTCTTATATAACAGTAATATAACTTATAAAACAATAAAATTATATATTCTTGTATAACAATAACATTATATATTCTTATATAACAATAATATAACAATGGCGTAATTTGCTAATTTTGTAATGTTTATATGCATGCATATTATTTTTAAGAATAAAAACTTAAAAAAAAAATTTCGATAGGTGTGCGATTATTTTTTTAATAAAATTCGTGGCAATAAAACATGATTTACAGAATATATATATATATATATATATATATATATATATATATATATATATATATATATATATATATATATATATATATATATATATATATATATATATATATATATATATATATATATATATATATATATATATATATATATATATATATATATATATATATATATATATATATATATATATATATATATATATATATGTATATATATATATATATATCAAATGATTTAAAATCTTCAGGATTCTTTTGACAAAATTTTTTCAATGATATGAAAACTAATCTTACGGGGAGCTATTTACAATACATTTGAATTTTTTTTAATATAAGGAGGTTTAAAACATTGATAGTTTTGTAGATTTTTAGAACGTGATGAAATGTCGACATTGGTGTTGTTAATATTAGAGCTTTAAACTTTTTATAATATATATGTGTATTCATATAGACTTTAAATCATTTGTTGTCTATTAATTTGAATGCTGTAAATCCTATTATATTGGCATAACTACTCGCCATTTAAAAACACGAAAAATCAAGCACTAAAATAGGGACAAAAACTCGCGCATTTATTCAAATGAAAGCTGTTTTAAGAGTTTTAAATATGCTAGTTTTTTGTTTTTGGGTTTGGCCTCCAACAAATTTATATTAAATTCAAGGATACATAGAAAGGAATAAATCCACTGTTAATAAAGAAGTAAAGTATGCCATACAAAAATAACAGCTTTAATCTAGTTCCTCTTAACAAGACTGGTTTTTTATTGTTTTTAAAAATTTTTTACATTTTTTAATGCGTTTTTGTTGTATTTTTTACTACAAGGTCTCTATTATTTAAACAAAATTTTTTAAAAATGTCTAATTTAATTAGAATTATATATATATACATATATATATATATATATATATATATATATATATATATATATATATATATATATATATATATATATATATATATATATATATATATATATATACATATATGTATATATACACATATATATATATATATATATATATATATATATATATATATATATATATATATATATATATATTATATATATATATATATATGTATGTATATATATATATATATATATATATATATATATATATATATATATATATATATATACATATGTATATATATATATATATATATATATATATATAATATAATATATATATATATATATATATATATATAAGTATGAACTGTTAGTATAGGAGGGCCTAATGTAAACATTACAAAAGCACCAATAACAATATTTATGTTATATTGAAATAGGATAGCATTTAGCAAGCTCAATTTGCATTTGCAGTTCAACACAATCAATTTCATTGAAAATTTGGCAAACAGAGAAGTGAAGTGAATAAATTTACCATGACAGTTAGGTTCAATATCTTCAAAGTATGTTTGTTTTTACATACAAATGAAACATGATCTCTCATACCATCATTGGACAAATATTCTAGATTTTTAAGAAAACCAAACCTTTTGCTAACTGTATTGAATGCATTAGCCTTGTGTTTAAGAGCAACTGAAAATTGATCAACTTTAGGCAAAAAACACTGAAAATTAAACTTATCAGAAGGGGATAACTATAAATCTTCTGAGTCACCATAATCTCATCTCTGGATTCTCTTGCGTATTCGCCTTGCTTATTCGCCTTGCTTCACCTTTGTACGAATCAGTAACTAGATCCTTTCCTTCCTTTTCAAATTCCTTTAACTGGTATCAAAGAGAATGAACAATTTCACCCAAAGAACGAAGCAGTTTTGCAGCGGTGTTGAGATCCATGTCTGCCCCTTATCGTACTTGCTATTTAAATTGAACCTATTCAAACTTTTTGACCACAATTGAAATAGGATACCTGTTTCATGATGACTTATCATATCTTTCCCGACCTGTCGCTTAAACTTAAAAGTGTCACGAGGCAGTACTTTAAAAGATAAATTAAAATCGCTAATCTATTGTTGGTATAATAAAATCCCATCTGCACTTTTGCTAAAAACTCATTCAGGTTGTCGGTTATAATCCACTCAGCCGCATCGGTGTTTACAGTGTAGGTTGTCAGAGTCAGGGATAACACTGAGATAGTTGAGACACTTGAATTCGCTGTAGCTGAGTCTGCTGAGACACTATTAGAAATACCTGGAACTGGTGCTGACATAATTAGTGAGTGTGAACTCACTGAACTATCTGGAACTGGCACTGAAATAAATGAATTTGAACTCGCTGTAGCTGAGTTTGCAGAGACACTATTAGCACTACCTGGAACTGGCGCTGACATTATTGACATAGTTAGTGCATTTGTACTCGCTCTCGTAGTAGCTGATACCAAGACTGAGTTTTGTAAAACTTACAAAACTTTACAAAACTTACAAAACTTAAAAAAATTCATTCACTTTTTTATTTTTGTTCAATAATTCATTTAATTGAATCTCCTTCTTTTTTTTCATTTTTTCTCAACCGCTTAGGCCTCTCCTTTAATTTTTACATTTCTCCTTTTCGTTTTTTATTTTAATTTTGTAAACGAATGAGCAGTACTGTAATTTTCTGCGGAAGTGATCATAAAATAAAAAATGAAACTTAAGGCGGTCATATTACGTTTAAAACACGGTAAAAATTATAAAAATAGAAAAATAAAATAATTAGAATCAAGATTTTGTATCCATGTAGCCTAAATATGGAATACACGCTGCAATAAACAGTTTGTGAACCAAGAATGGTATGATCATGAAATTTTCACAGATTTTTAACGACATATAATTGCACTCACCCTGCCAAAATCTATTGAAAATTCGGAAGGAAAACAGGCTTAAGGCCTTAAAAAAATTTTAAAAAGGCTTGGAAAAGACACCGCCATTTTTGAACCGGTTTGTTGGCATAAATTATTTTGATAAGGTGAATGTACATAATGCAATAAATAATGTATATATATGTAATAAATAAATCCTGAAAATCTAAGCAAAATCAGACAAAGCAATGACATGTACAAAAAACTATTATGTTGAGAAAAATAAGAATAAAGACATTTTATGAAAAAAAATAAAATATATACATATATAAACATACAAATAAAAATAAAAAATGAAAAAAAAAAAAAAAAAATATATATATATATATATATATATATATATATATATATATATATATATATATATATATACATATATATATATATATATATATATATACATATATATATATATATATATATATATATATATATATATATATATACATATATATATATATATATATATATATATATATATATATATATATATATATATATATATATATATATATATATATATATATATATATATATATATATATATATACCCAGCAAACATGTCAGCGTTGAATCAACGTTAAAAACCGGTCGCAAAAGATGTTGCAGAAACGTTGACAAAGTAATCGATTTTGCAAAGATTTGTCACGTTGTTAAAGAGACGTTGAATAAACGTTGTAGCGTAACGTTAAAAAAACGTTACTAAAAGGCGTTACAAAAATGTCTCAACTAAACGTTGAAAAAGCGTTACTTAAAAAGCGTTGCATAGGCGCCGCAAATTAATGTTGAAAAAACGTTACTTAAAAAGCGTTACTTTAACGTTGTTAATGCAGTTGATTTTGCAAGAATTTGTAACGTTAGTAGTAAAACGTCGATTTAACGTGACTCAAAGACGTCGAGTAAAGGTTGAAATATAACGTTAAATCAACGCTCAAAGGCGCTGGAGAAAATATCGCAAAACATTATTAAACGTGATTAAACTTGGTTATAATGTATATTGAATTTGCAAATAAAACAAAATTGTATGCTGATCTCTGCACTTGCAATATTTCCAAAGTCGATTTTTAATACAAATAGTAATATGCAATGAAAAACATAAAAAAATATACAATTTATTTATATAAAATTTACATCTTATAGATAAAAATATAAACATCTTTTTTAAGATTTATGTGTGTAAGTAATTTTACAGGATTTATGTGTGTGAATAAATTTTATGTGTGTGAGTGGATTTACAGGATATCGTATTGATAAGCCAGGATATCAATGAGATACAGAATCTAAGTCAAAAAATAAAACTTGTATAATTATCAATCTGAAAGCAAATGTTTAAAAAATGTTATTGAATTAGTATGATTATTATTAAATTTAAAAAGTAAAAATAAATAAATAAATATATATATATATATATATATATATATATATATATATATATATATATATATATATATATATATATATATAAATATATATATATATATATATATATATATATATATATATTGTAATTGTCGTAATATATATATATATATATATATATATATATATATATATATATATATATATATATATATATATATATATATACATATATATATATATATATATATATATATATATATATATATATATATATATATATATATATATATATATATGAATATATATATATATATATATATATATATATATATATATATATATATATATATATATATATATATATATATATATATATATATATATATATATATATAAATACATATATATATATATATATATATATATATACATATATATATATATATATATATTATATATATATATATATATATATATATATATATATATATATTGTGATTGTCGTAATAGCATAAAATAAGTAATTGTTTTTAAAAATAACACGACGTTTTTTATTCTTGAAATGTTTTGTAGTAAACAACTGGGGTTGATATTTGACTGGGGTCGGTGTCGGGTTTGATAAAATATAGCCGGGGCCAGGGCCGGGTTTGAGACCAGGCTGCATAATCATTGATACATCCTAATTTATATTTTTTAAATTTAAAATTCATGGTATATTTTGTATATATAAGCATATATGAACATCATTGTGATCAACATGATCATCATAATCATCATAACTATCATCATCACAACCATCATCATGATCATCATAATCATCATGATCATCATTATCATCAACAGCATAAAAGCGGAAAACTTGACTATGATAATAAAAATTATGTTGATGTTGTTAATCGTCATCATGATAATCATCATCATCTTTATTATGGCACTATATAAGGCACACTCTTCAAGTTTTCTTACTTCTACGACAACTATTTTATACTGAAGCTGCTACCACTCTACATGTTTATACCTGAATTACTTTAACTTTTTATAAAAAAAAAAGGTTGTTTGATACATCGTTTTTTCTAATCTGTCTAAGATTATGCCTACTTTTTATATCTTGTTAGAGTCACACCACACATCCATCTGATCATTTCTATTTCAGCAAATACTGCACTATATAAATACTAAAGTTTATACAACAATGAAAGAATATTGTATGCCAGCATCTAAACAAATAGCAAACAAATATGCTTATATCCATAATATATGTGCAAAAAGTGCATCTTGGAAGCTTATATTGCTTCTGGAATAAAAGTTTGGAAGCTTTAATTACTTCTCTTCAGTTTTAAATCAAGCCTCATTCTACTCTACATCTTTCAACATTAACTACGTTTTTCAGCTTTTTTTTATAAGAACATCTCTCTTAAGAAAAAATTGTCTTTTTTGTTATTGCAATAAGCTAATGCATAAACAAAGTCTTGTCTGATGTAAATCTCTGTTATTCTCAGTTTACTAAATCTTGTATCTTATCTTAGATGTTGATTCTAGAGACTTTTAGTTAGTTTTCAATGGTGTTATTAACTAAAGTGCCTTATGGATTTGAATTCTGGACTTGAAATCAACAATTTTTGATAGACAACAAAATTCATTTATTTACTACAAAAACATATTGCAATATTGTTGGTATTCCTGTATTGACAAATAAAAACCCTATAATTATTATAATATGCTATAAAATAATAATAACAATAATAAATATATATATATATATATATATATATATATATATATATATATATATATATATATATATATATATATATATATATATATAAATATATATATATATATATATATATATATATATATATATATATATATATATATATATATATATGTATATATATATATATATATTGCAATTAAAAAGAGTCATGTATCCATACATTATTTAACCAAATAAAACTTACTTCAATAGGTGTAACTATAAATCATCAATTTAAATCATATTATGAACTTCGTTCATAAGATGCAAACCAGTTAAAACCAAATCATTCCTCGATCTTTGATCCACCAGAACTTTACTAAATAAAGTTATACTGGTAATTAAACTACCACATGTCGAAAAATTTAGACAGTATTATTGAAATCAGCATTGACCAATAGTTAATATTATATTTTTTTTAATTCTTTACTATATAAAAAACAAAGAAAAGTTAAATCCGAAGAGAAACAAAATTGTTCACAAACATAATTACTTACAATCTTCTACGGAGCCCTCTTTAGTCGTGAAATTAAATCCTGCACATACTTCTTTATCTATTAGTAATTATTTAGTAAAATAAATATAAACAAATTTATGTAAAAACAGTTACTTTAACTCTTTTAAGTCTAAGCTTGTTGCAGGAATCAATGATTGGAAAATTAGTATAGGTAGCTTTCATTGCATGAACACAAATTGGCCAAAATAACCATCCATCTTTTTTTGAACAAATTGGAGCAACTGCCTCTGCTACAAACCTTATGTATATGTAAATAATGTATAAATAAATCTTTATATATACATTATTTACACACATATATATATATATATATATATATATATATATATATATATATATATATATATATATATATATTCATTATATATATATATATATATATATATATATATATATATATATATATATATATATATATATATATATATATATATATATATATAGAATATATATATATATATATATATATATATATATATATATATATATATATATATATATATATATATATATATATATTCATATATATATATATATATATATATATATATATATATATATATATATATATATATATATATATATATATATATATATAGATTTATTACTCTGACAACTAACTTAGAAATGTCAAAATTTGGCCACTGACTGAGCTGAAATTTATTATGCATAGATATACTTTTATATATTTATGTTTGTGTTAAGCAATTTTTAACAATCTTTAACCATTTTTCTTAACTTATAAAATGAAAACAATTTAAAAAGATAGAAGCTTTGTGTATTTTAAGTTATTAACGAGGAAAAGAACTTCTGCCAATTGGGACAGACTTCATAGGTCTGTATTCAGATACTTAATAAAACTAGTATACAAACTTTTAATAAAGTAATAAATAAATGTTAAACTATATAAAGATATTAAATTCCTCATAAAATATTAAACTCTTAAATATTGATCAAAATTCTTTAACAAAACTTCCAAACCATTTTACCAACTTTTATATTTTTCAATAAAAATGACTAGACATGACAATATTTTGTAATTTAAAAAAAAAGCATGTATTTATTATACACACAATATGCCTCTCTTACATACATACATACATATATATACATATATATATATATATATATATATATATATATATATATATATATATATATATATATATATATATATATATATATATATATATATATTTATATATATATATATATATTTATATATATATATATATATATATATATATATTTTATATATATATATATATATATATATATATACATATATATATATATATATTATATATATATATATATATATATACATATATATATATATATATATATAATATATATATATATGTGTGTGTATATATATATATATATATATATATATATATATATATACACACACACATATATATATATATATATATATATATATATATATATATATATACGTATATATATATATATATATATATATATATATATATATATATATATATATATATATATATATGTATATATATATATATATACATATATATATACATAAACATATATATATATATATATATATATATATATATATATATATATATATATATATATATATATATATATTATATATATATATATGTTTTATATATATATATATATATATCTATATATATATATATATATATATATATATATATATATATATATATATATATATATATATATATATATATATATATACATATATATATATATATATATATATATATATATATATATATATATATATATATATATATATATATATATATATATATATATATATTAATATTTAAAATATAAATATTTAAAAAAATTGAGCATTTTATTAAAATCCTCAACTTAAAACAAAATAAAACATTTACAAAAATAAGCTGAATAAGTCGAATTTACCCTGAGATTTATGTACTTTATATACATTTAATACGTTTAATAAACGCCTTTTTTTTGAGAAGATAAGATACGTTTAAATTTATACGCTTATTCAACGTTAAAAATGTAACGTTTAAAAAGCGGTTTGTTTTTAACGTTGATAAAGAATATACTTCGAAACGTTTTTAAAGTGGCTTTTTGCGTAAGTTGATTCCACGTTGAATAAACGTTTTATTTTGAGAGGCTAAATTACGTTACAATTTTAACGCTTATTCAACGTTTCAATTTACCGCAATTTAGTATACAAAAACAGACGTCGATTCAACGTTGAAAGCGCGTTGTTTTTGTGACTGTAACGCTTTTTCTACGCTGACTGGTTTTCAACGTTGATTCAACGCTTACATGTTTGCTGGGTATATATATATATATATATATATATATATATATATATATATATATATATATATATATATATATATATATATATGTATATATATATATATATATATATATATATATATATATATATATATATATATATAAATATATATATATATGTATATATATATATATATATATATATATATATATATATATATATTTAATTTATTGCAAACAAAACTTGAACTTTATAATAAATACAGAGAAAAATTAATGTTAAAATAATGCTAAAGCTTTGATTGCTGATGAGAAATAATTAACTCGAAAAATCAACCAGTATCAAATATATTTATTCTGGTATACAACAAATAAAATCTGATTCAAAAGATACACTTTAGTTTTTATATTTTTATTTAATATGTCATTAAATTCTTTTCAGTGTATGCAAAAAATGTAAACTGCATGCATTTTGCATTTTGCATGCAGTTTTTATTTTGCACGCATGCATCCTTTTTTTTTCTAGCAGAATAAAGCAATTTTTTTGCATCGTTTGTTCATTATCTGTCTTAGTACTGCGATATAGAATATGCATAACTATGTTATACTTTGTTAGATGAAACATCATGACTACTATTTAACCATATTACGTTTATTATAGGATACAAGTTTATTAGACCACATAGATTTTTAAACCAAATAACCTTTACCGTCTGTGACAGAACAGATGGTGGACATAAATGTGACATACTCTGTCACATAACAGTTACTGTTCTATAATTGTATGAATTATTAATACAAGAACATTTGCGTTTTCTGCGCAGGTTTTTGCATCCATCGTTTTTTTCACTTTCATACAAATATATCTTAAAACTTTATTGTTTAAAAAAACACTTTCAGGTGATTCTATATTGCGTATATATTAATAAATATATATAATTAAATTTATAAAAAAATATATTCATGAAAAGAAACTTATGTTTTTAAAACAATTTCTAAATAAATTATTGCAATTTATTCTTTTGTTTAATAAAGTTTCGTATGGGCTGTGTTGTTATACTACAAACAACATAATGATCATGATATATTAACATTGTTTACATTAAACATTAACAATTAAATTGGTTTAATGTTCAAATTATTTTTTTTTCCACAAGCTTAAACTGGTTAAAGAAACTTAAAACCTAAGTTAGTTAAACAAATATGAAATCAACTTTATTGTAACTGAAGAATGATTGATATTGATTTCAAAAAACTGATAAAAATGTTGGTTTGATAGAAAAGGAAATATGATAAATGTATGTATATTATTTCGTAGATTACTTGAACAATTTTGCTTTGTTTTATTATCTTCTTGATTCATAACTTTTCTGTAATATAATTTGAGTGTTATTAACACATTTATCTTTTGTATACTTATAGTTTAGTAAGAATAATATAACGATAACATTTTCTTTATAAATATAGTATAAGTTATTGTGTTATGCAAAGAACCATCTGTATCGTCGCTTATTTGATTAAAAGTTCTATAGTCAACTATGAAAAATATTGACGTTAAAAAGTTTGTTGCTGTTGGATGTGACAGAACTGCCGTAAACACAGGAATTAAGGGTGGCGCAATAAAGTTGATGGAAAAAGAATGGTTGGTTTGCCTTTTGCATGCAAACGAACTTCCTCTTCGACATCTGCTAATTTGTTTGGATGGATCAACTACCAAAAGCATTTTTGCCCATTTCTGGCCCAATTAAAAGCACTAAGGTAAGACACTTATTAATTGTAAGAAATTACCAGTTGTTGAATTTGAAAAGATTGAACTCTTCCAAAAGTTAAACTTAAAGATTTTAGCACAAATCAAAAATATATGTGGGAAATGTGCGAAGTAATATCCAAAGGTGAGTGTTTACCAATCAAAAAAAACTCCAGGGGTACTAAATTACTTTCGAAAACTGACAACAGCAAATAGACTTCTACGGTTGTATGTAGCGAGCGAGGATCCATCAACAAATTTAATCCATTTAGTAACTTATGTTGTAAGAGTTTATTCTCGGTTTGGTTTAGTATTGAGATGCATCCTTCATGCAAAGTTAGTGCGGGGCATCTTTTTAAACTTATTTAACAGTCACGTTACTTATCGCAGTAACTGCGAGATATAGTAGATCGTGTATTACAACGTTACGGCTATTTTGCTATTCCCAGAAAATCTCCTAATAGCAATGGTTAGTGACAAACGCCAACAAATTCGTGATTTATTATTAAGTCGCATTCTTAAAACGCGGCAGCAGATCACACACTGCGTACTTTCAGTTTAACTTAAATGCACATGATTACATAGAACTCAACTCAGTAATATAACTGAGCCACCGTTGACAGCTGATGTGTCCAAGGAAGATATTCTATTGTTTTCGGAAATTTGTGGACAATCAATAATTGAGAGAAAGACTTCCATGCCAAATTCAACCAGTGAAGCGGTGTGTCAAGCTTGTAACTGAGGCTTCGCTAGCTGTATGTGGAGAAAAATTTCAAGATGGTTTTATTCGATCGCGTTTACATGCATGTCTCATAATGCCAGTGTTTAACACAAAGTCGTGCTTCCGAAGAAAGTATAATGACAGATTTTCTAAAACTTGATTGTGTATGTTAAAATAATTAATGAATAG